GCTCACGCACGTTGTGTATTCCGAGGCATGTCATAAATAATATGGTTTTCCGATCCCCCCCTCCCTCGGGCGGGGCCACCCTGGAGGGGTGGGAGGGACGCGAACCCTTAAACTATATAATGGTTTTCGGGTACCCTTCTCGCTCAGGCGGGGCCTCCCTGGAGGGGTGGGAGGGGCGCGAAACCTTGTAAATAGCATGACTTTCCGATGGCTTCCTCGCTCAGGCGGGCCCCCTTGGAGGGCCGGGAGGGGCACGAAACCATGTGACTGATATAATTTTCGGATACCCTCCTCGGTCAAGCTGGGGCTGCATGCCAGCGCGCGCATGTCAGTGCATGAGAGGGAGGAAAAACACAACAACATTCCGACGCATTCCCTAGGCATTCCCTAGCATTCCCTAGGCATTGAGAGAGTGCATGAGATCCCTAGCATTCCCTAGGCATTCCTATGGATCTGATTCAGATCCCTAGCATTCCCTCGGGATTCCAACGGATCTAAGCCAGATCCGTAGCATTCCCTAGGCATTCCTATGGATCTGAGCCAAATTCTTAGCATTCCCTAGGGATTCCAATGGATCTGAGACAGTAGGAATCCCGGGATTCCCATGGATCTGAACCAGATCCCTAGCATTCCCTAGGCATTCCTAAGGATCAAAGCCAGATCCCTAGCATTACAGCGGGGATTCCAAAGGATCTGAGCCAGATCCCTAGCATTCCCAAGGGATTCCAATGGATCTGAGCCAGATCCCTAGCATTCCGAAGGAACGCCTGGGGATGTGAGCCAGATCCTAGGAATCCCTAGGGATCTGAACCAGATCCGAGCCTTCCCGATGGGATCCTATGGATCTGAACCAGATCCTTAGCATCCCCTAGGGATTCCCAAGGGTCTGAGCCAGATTCTAGCAGCTACTAGCATTCCCTGTGGACCCCTAGGGATCTGAGCCAGATCCTTACGATTCCGAAAGAATTCCCAAGGATCTGAGCCAGATCCCGAGCATTCCCTAGGGACCCCTAGGGATCTGAGCCAGATCCTTAAATTGTTGACGCTTCGCGTATCCCCACCAGCCCATCCAGAAACGATGCTCAGGGGAGTTGAGGTGATCAGGGAAGTCGGGGAGCATGCAGAATAACAAAGGGCGGGGGAAGCTGTCACAGACCCCGAGAGGGGGAGGATGGAAGAGGAGTCGTCGTCGGAGGAGGAGGAGGAGGAGGAGGAGGGGGAAGAGGAGGAGGAGGAGGAGGAGGAGGAGGACGGAGAAGGAGGAAGAATCGGAGGAGGAGGAGGAGGAGGGGAAGGAGCTTCTTGGGGGTCTTTTGAGGGCCTCTTGGAGGGCTTTTTGGGCGCCTTGGGGCATCTTGGGCGCCTCTTGGGACCCTCTTGAGGCGCTCTGGGGAGCCTTCGGGGCGCTTTTGGGGCCATCTTGGAGGGAGTCGATCAAACAAGAGGGGGGGTTTAATTAGCGCCCCCCCTCGGAAGCCCCTAAAATCGCCTCTTGGACCCCTCTTGGAACGCTCTTGGAGTGCTCTTGGGCGCTCTTGGGGCCGTCTTGGGGCTCTTTTGGGGCTCTCTTGGGGCCCTCTTGGGCCATCTTGGAGCCATCTCCAGGCCTCGGATGGCCATCGGAAGCGAAAAGGCGAGAAAGCAAAAATCATTGATTTTCCTTAGGTTTTGGGACGATTTTGGCCTCTTCGGGGCCTCCTTGGGGAGCTGTTTGGCCACTTGGAGTTATCTTGGGGCCGTCTTTGGGCTTCTTGGAACCATCTTAGGAGCCATCGTGAGCGATCTTGCGCTATCTTGAGCCATCTTGGAGCTCATCTTGGGTTCTCTGAGGCGCTCTTGGAGCCGTCTTGGGCCATCTTGGACGCTCTAACTACCCGCGGCCCCCCCCGTCCAGGTCCAGGGGAGGGGGTAGGGGGAGGGGTAAACCCCTCCCCAAGGGGGAAGAGGGAGGGGTGGAAGAGGATCTGTTCTAGACCACCTACGCCCAGAGGGCTGGTGGGACTTCCTTAGGGATTCCTATGGATATGAACCAGATCCCTAGCATCCCCTAGGGCTTCCAATGGATCCGAGCCAGACCCTAGCAGTCCGAAAGACTGTCTATGGATCTGGGCCAAGTTCCTAGCATTCCATGCGGATTTCTAAAGATCTGACCCAAACCCTTGGGATTCCGAAAAATCCTTCGGGATCTGAGCAAGATCCTAGCCTGTGGGGCGTCGTAGGGATCTGAGCCAGATCGCTAGCATTCCCAAAGGGTTCTTGGGGATCTGAGCCAGACCCTAGCGTTCCGAAAGGATGCCTAGGGATCTGAGCCAGATCCTACGAATTCCTAAGGATCTGACCCAGACCGCTGGGAATCCATCGGGACTCCTGGGTAAGGAGCCAGATCCTAGCATGTCCTAGGGATTCCCAAGTCCTAAGGATCTGAGCCAGACCCCTAGCATTCATTTGGGATTCTTATGGATGTGAACCAGATCCTAGCATGCCCTCTGGCTGCCTATGGATCTGAGCGAGACTCTTAGGATTATGTAAGAGTTCCTACGGATCTGATCCAGATCCTTAGCATTCCTTAGGCACTCCCAGGGATCTGAGCCAGATCCCTAGCATGCCCTAGGGAATCCAAGGAAACTGAGCCAGATCCCTAGCATTCCCTAGGCATTCCTATGGATCTGAGCCAGATCCCCAGCATCCCCTAGGGATTCCAATGGATCTGAGTAGGGATCTGAGCCAGATCCTAGGTATTCCTAAGGTATCCGACCCAGATCCATAGACATCAATCAGGGTTCCTAAGAATCTGAGCCAGATCCTAGCATTCCCGGGGAATTCCTACGGATCTGACCCAGATCCTTAGCATTCCCTAGGGATTCTTATGGATATGAAGCACTCTGGATGGGATCCTATGGATTTGAGCTAGACCCTTAGGATTATGTAAGAGTTCCTACGGATCTGAGCCAGATCCCTAGCACTCTCTAACTCCTAGGGATCTGGGCCAGATCCCTAGCATTCTCGGGATTCCAATGGATCTGAGCCAATAAGAATTCACACGGATCTGAGCCAGATCCATAGCATTCCTTAGGCAGTCCTACAAATCAAAGCCAGATCCTTCGCATGACAGCCGGAATTCCTAAGGATCTGACTGAGCCAGATCTCTAGTATTAATCACGGATCCAATGGACCTGAGCCAGACCTTGAGCATTCTGAAGGAATGCCTAGGGATCTGAACCAGATCCTAACCTTCCCGATGGGATTTTACAGATTTGAACCAGATGCCTAGCATGCCCTAGGAATTCATACAGATCTGTGCCAGATTCAAGCAGTTATTAGCATTCCTTGCTGATTCCTAGGGTTCTGAGCCAGATCCTTAGAAATCCTACAGAATTCCCACAGATCTCAGCCAAACCCCTAGCATTCCCTAGGGATTCCAATGAATTTGAGTGAGTAAGAATTCTAGACGCTTCGCGTATCCCCACCAGCCCGTCCAGAAATGAGTCCCAGGGGAGTGGAGGTTATGAGGGAAGCGGGGGAGCATGCAGAAGAACAGAGGGCGGGGTGAGCCGCCATATACCCCAAGAGGGGGGGGGATGTAGGAGGAGCCGTCGTCGTCGGAGTAGGAGGAGAAAGAGGAGGAGGAGGAGGAGGAAGATAAGGAGGAGGAGATGGAAGACTGCGAGGACGAGAAGGAGGAAAAGGAGGAGGAGGGGGAGGGAGGAGGAGGACAATGGCGAGCTTGGAGGCCTCTTGGGCCGTCTTTGGAGCCTCTTGGCGGTCCCGGGGGCCTCTTGCGTATCTCGGGGAGCCTCTTGTGGCCTCTTGGGGGTCTCTTGGGGGCCTCTTGGAGGCCTCTTGGGAGCCTCTTGGGGCCTCTTGGGGCTCTCTTGGGGCGCTCTTGGGGCGCTCTTGGGAGCTTTCGAGGCGCTCTTGGGGCCATCTTGGAGGAGATCTATCAAAGAAGGGGGGGTCCTCAATTAGCGCTGCCCCTCTAGAGTGCCTCGAATCGCTTCTTGGGCCCTTCTTGAGGCCAAAATCTTTCCAAAACCCAGGTAAAATCAATGTTTTGTGTTTTCTCGCCTTTTCGCTCTTGGAGCCGTCTTGGGAGCCTCTTGGAGGTCTCTTGGGAGCCTTTTGGAGACCTCTTGGGGCGCTCTTGGGAGCCTTCGGGGCGCTCTTGGGGCCGTCTTGGAGGAGATCGATCAAAGAAGGGGGGGTCCTCAATTAGCGTTGCCCAGGAAAATCAATATTTTTTGTTTTCTCGTTTTTTCGCTCTTGGAGCCGTCTTGGGCCATCTTGAACTCTCTTGGGGGTCTCTTGGCAGCCTCTTAGAGGTTTCTTGGGGGCCTCTTGGGGTCTTCTGGGGCCCTCTTGGGCGCTCCTGGGAGTTTCGCTCTTGGAGCCGTTTTGAGCCATTTTGGGCGTCCCTGACACCTCGCGAGACGCCTCGTCCAGGTCAGTGGGGAGGGGTAAGGAGAGGGGTAAACCCCTCCCCGAAGGGAAAGAACGGGGGTTGGCAGAGGAAACGCTCTAGACCACCTACGCTCTAAAGGGCGGGTGGGATTCCCACGGATTTAAACCAGATCCCTAGCATGGTCAAGGCATTTTTAAGAATAAAAGCCAGATCCCGAGCATTAGAGCAGGAATTTCTAAGGATGTGAACCAGATTTTTAGCGTTCCCGAGGGATTTGAATGGATGTGCGCCAGATCGTTATTATTCCGATGGAATACCAGGGAATCTGAACCAGATCCTAGGCATGCCTGGGGAACTGAACCAGCTCCTCGCTTTGTCGATGGGATCTTATGGATCTGCACCAGATGCTTGGCATTCCGTCGGAGTTTCTAATGAATGCCAGATTCAAGCAATTACTTGCACTTTCTGTCGATTGCTACAGATTTGAGTCAGATCTTTAGGAGTCCGAAAGAATTCCCATGAATCTAAGCCAGACCTTTAGCATTCCGGAGTGATTTCTGAGGATCTGAAAGATTCTAAAAATGTCTTACGGTTTCTGAAGCAACACGAAGGGCAAAGACGAAGACCGAACAAATCTCGAACAAAATTATTTACTCATTTTTGATCGTGAATTTTATATAAAAAAAAATTGATAACATTCAATAAATTCGAGTTGCACAAATTCTGGGTTCTAAATAAGATAGTCAAACAGAATGTAAGGAATTGTTTTGAGATTTATAGACATTCTCTCAGATTGCTAGAATCTGGTTCAAATCCATCGGAAACACCAGGAATGCTGGGGCTCTGATTCATATTCATAGAACTCGGCCCGAACATAGAGATGTTTCAAAGAATGCGCCAATTTAGTTGTCAGTTCTGTTTTTGAGTTGGCCAATTTTGTGATTCCGAAAGGATTTTATAATCGATGATATCGACAAGTGCGTATTTGGTGTTTTGTGGCCTTTGTACAGTTTTTTTCGTACCCGCCGTATTCATAATGATGCTGAACTGAGTTGTTTATAGAAAGCGCACATTTTGTGATATTCAATACCGTACAAGTGTTTTAAGCCACGCGATGTCGTCGGTCTTTGTTTTTTGGGACGTTTTTTTGACGCGTGTTGCGTTCGCTCGATATTTCTGTTTTTGCACGCATTGGTGCATATCAATTTGGTTATTTTAGACGCGGCGTGATGTTAGCATTTTGGAAGTCATTCACAGGGCGGTATTGAAATTCGGTATTTCTTGTTTTTTTCAATTCCCCTCCGCCCCGGGTTCCGACATTAGCGGCACGTGAAGGAGCTATTTTTCGAGTCGCTAGATTACATATTAGATCATGTTATTGGCGACGCGAACATTTATTTTTCTGCCCGATTATGTCATCAGCGAAGCGTCAATTTAAAGATTCGAGAGCGGCTTTTAGCGCCTCATTCGTGCGCGTTTCTCATTAGGATGGTTGGCGCTTCACGTTTTTGTTCCGCTCGTTCTATCGTGTTCGCGAGTGTCGCGATTGGCGCGTTCGATCCTCTTCGCATTTTTTGCCCTGTTCTTTTCCGTTTTCCTCGTCCTTTTCCTCTGTTTTGCCTGTTGTTGTTGGGTCTCGCCGTGTGTTTTCGTTTGTTGTTTTGCTGTTGTTGTCATCCGTCCGTGTTGTTGTTCCCTTCATTCCTGTTTTGTTTTCTGTGCAGGAGCGCAGCAGAGATTGTTTCAATCGTCGCGCGTCCGGCGTATTTTGTTCCTTCTCTTTTTTTCCTTCCTCGTTTTTCTTTCTTTCTTCTCTCTCTTGTCGCTTCTGGCTATGCGTTTGGTTGTCATTTCAAGGGCGTGTCGCCGAGCGCGCAGAAATTATTTTGCATCCGGATGTCATTAATTTTTAAGCGTTTTCGCGTGTGAGAGCAGCCTACACAGGTGATGATGATCGATTGTGGAAAGAAAGTAACCATATCGTTACCCGTTTGCCCGTTTTTTATTTGTTTTTTTTTCGTAAAAGAGTTCAGTCATGAATGTTGACCTGAGTGTTCATGCAGAATCTCGGATTGCGTTCGCGAGTGCGCTTGGCGTCTACACAGCATTTTTTGGAACCGCTGGATTCATCCAGACATAATCATCGTACAAATCTCATTTTTGATCGAATGTTAATGTAGACCAACATTCTATTGTGCCTCGTGTTTTTTGTGTTTTTTTCCCTTTGGTACCGTTTGGGGCCGTCTTTTGAGTTCGCCCTTCCCTTTTTCTGTTTTGTCGATTTTCCTTTCGTTTCCCCCGTTTTTTTATGCCTTTTTGGTTTTCGTTCGTATCTTATTCGTTCCGATGTTTTGCGTTTGGCGCGCGCATGTTTTTTAGAAGTCGTGAGACTTTTGATCCGGATTCAAAAAATACAAACAAAAAAATTGTAAAATTATATAAAAAATGCACACAAATTGCTCAATATTTTTGGACATTTCAGACACGAGCTGGATACTGCGATAATTCGCAGCAGCATCGTGTGCAGATGCTCGTTTAAGGAAAGGGAGGATCCAATGTTTTGTCCAACATTTCGGCCATACACTTGTAGACAGAATACGTTCAAGTTTAACGAATAGAATCGGTTCCGGCTGCACATTTTGAGGAAAGGGCCCAGGTTGCTATCCGTGCCAGTGCCACTGTCGATCTGAAGAACCGACCCTTTTGGTTTCGTTTTGCGAGATTTAATCGAAACGAACCTTCTGGAGCGTTTTTAGCGCCCAGAATGTCCAGGAGCTTCAACGTCCATCGTCTCAGATTATGCGTGATGCTGTTGCTCGGATTCCGACATGGGCACAGTTTTTTTTCGTAGGGTTTGGCTAGTTGGGTCCCGGTTTGATGGCTCTGTCTCCAGCCGTTTTTTTTTGAGATAGAACATTTTTTTTTTGTTTTTTTCGTGTTTTTTTCGCTTCCGTTCGTTTTCGTTTTTTTTTGATTTCGATTTTGTCTCGTTCTTTGTTGTTGTTGTTTCTCGTCGTCAGGATCCCTTCGTTTTTCGTTGGTTTGCCGCGTGCGTGAAGGACAGGCGCGTGCACGGTTGTTGTGCACGTGGTTTTTCATCCTGTCCTTTTCCGTCTTCTCGTTTTTTTTACGTGTTTTTTTCTTATTGTTGTTTGCTTTTCTGTTTTTTTTTTTGTTTTTTTTCTCTCTTTTTTCTCTATTTTTTATTGTTTTTCTTTGTTTTTTTCTTTCATTTTGTCTCTGTCTTTTGTGACTCCCGCGCCGGCCTGTCGAGCAGGGTTCGGTCTCGTAGAAGACAGGTTGTTTCCCACTTTGGAATATTTTTTTTATTTCGATGTCCGTTTGTGAAGATTTCTGCGCTGCAGAGTCCAAACGGCCATCAATCAAGTTCAAGGACGTTCAGGCTCAAGGACGTTCAGGGTTCCCGCAACGTGCTTGCCCGTGATTTGCACGTATTTTGTGAGGTCTTGTCAGGGCAAGATCAAGATTTCTGTCCAGCATTTTTCCGCAGCAGATGCGTCTATGTGTTGAATGTTCGATTGTGTTGCCGATCGTTAAATTGTTGTCCAATCCGCCTTGGTAAAGTATCATCCAAGGTGTCGCTTTCGAATTTGCCAGAACTGACAGCAACGCGATGTGCACATATTATGGTTTTCCAGCCGTCCTAGCTTTCCCGGGCGCAGGTGCTTGTATGCACGGTTGCGTCCCTCAGTCCCGCTTCGCTTTTGGGGGTGGTAGCGGTGGCGCCCCGCCGGGTGGTTTCGAGCGCCCCGCCGGGTGCCCCCGAGTGCAGATTCTGCCTTGGTGAGCAGAGTTGCGGCGTCGAGCAGCGGTCCGGCCGAGGTTCCTGCCGCAGACGCTTCAGACAGCGAGAAATTCAATTTCATTATCAACAACATGTCCAGAAGCACGATACAGTGACCAAGCAGGACTTGTTCCAGATTGAGATCAATATGATGAAAGCTATGAAAATGCACGTGTTTGAGGAGTTGACTCCAATGAAGCGAGATGTGGTCGACTTGAACGAGCGCCTCTGCACCGTCGAACAGCGTTCTTCGAGCATTTTTTCGAAGCGTCAGATTGCAATGTTGAACACCTTCGACTTCGCGAACAAGAGGATCGCTGTTATCGGTTTCGCCGCAGACATTTTGCAGGATCGTATTGTTTGCATTGAGAGTTTTATGGGTTAATTACAGAATCCCCCGGTCTTTTTCTACACCGGCCCGCGGAATTCGTCGTCATGTCTCCAAAATGTCTTATTGGAATTTAGGTCATCGGATGTGGCTTCTGCATTCTTGGACGAAAACGTTTGAGTGCAAGGGTGTTTCAATAAAGATCAAAGTTGCTAAGAGCGAGATGAATTTACAGCGGGATTGGTGCCTCCGCAAGGCCGATTTGATCAAATCGCACAGCAGCGTTTCCGATCCAGATGCCGTGCGCGCCGACATGAAAGCACGGAAAGTGTTTGTAGGAGACGCTGTTGGTTCCATTCGAATGCTGGCGATTTCGAGGGCGTGTTCCGCGACAGGTTCTGGGATGCGGGGGGGTTGCTCATTTTGCATGTTTTACTTCTTTTGTCCTCGCCCGCAGCTAAGCTGCTAGTGTGCGGTCCGGGCAATTTGGCGCATACTTCCTCTGCTTCTCCAATGAAAAGTTCGCCCCGAGGATTGCATTGCCTTTGGGGCCTAATGCAGCGTATGCGTTGGACTTCGAGCGAAGTTGAGTTTCCACGTTGCTTCGCTCAGCCGATTTCCGGAGAATCCGGATTTTCGAGCCGCCTTGCCCAGCTGACCTCCGGAGGAGAATTTTCGAGCCGCCTTGCCCCGCCGACTTCCAGAGCCGAAATTTGAGCCGCTTTATCCGGCCGCCCTCCGGAGCAGAATTTTCGAGCCGCCTTGCCCGGCCGGCTTGGGGAGCAGATTTATCGAGCCGCCTTCCCGGGCCCTTTTCCGGAGCAGAATTTTCGAGCCGCCTTGCCCAGCTGTCCTCCTGACCTGAATTTCGAACCGCCCCAGGTTCGCTCCGTCTTTCAATTTGCCGTCTTCCGAGGGGGGATTTTCGAGCCATTAGAGTTCTGTTGCCCGGTCCTCTGAAAGAGGATTTTCGAGCATTGGCTCTCGTTCTCAGCGCCAGTTCAGTTTGCGCGAGTGTTTACCGGAGCTTTTTTCTGATAGTCTTCACCTCGGGGAGGGGACCTTGGCGAATCCAGTTCTCGCCCTCTTCAATTCAGTGCGGGTTTCACCATTTGGCATATCAGTATTCAGGGTTTTTCCCAGTCTGAGCTGGAAGCTCGTATCTCTCTCCTTTCTGCGCCTCCTGCTCTAGTTTGTTTGAACGAAACTCGGTTTGACCGGGTTTCAGTTCCGAGTTTGCACGGATATACGTGCGTTTTGTCGACGAGATCGGAACAGCAGCGGTGGTGGAGTTGCCGTTTTCGCGCTTGACCAGTGCTGTTCGCTCGTTTCCCCCCTCGCTAATTCTGTTTATGCCGAGTGTTGTTGGTTTGTATTTCATTTCGATTGCGGGCCTGTTTTGTTTGGCAATTTTTACCGTCTTCCCCTCTACGCCGAAGTAGTTTCCATGCAAAGTGTGTTTGCGGAGATGGAAACGCACCTATCTTCAGCCATAG